GCATGTGGGATCATCCCGGACCGGGGCACGAACCCGTGTCCCCTGCATCGGCAGGCGGACTCTCAACCACTGTGCCACCAGGGAAGCCCTTAAAGTTACTTTCTAGGGGCTTCCCTGGTGGCGCAGTGGTTGAGGGTCCGCCTGCCGATGCAGGGGACACGGGTTCGAGCCCCGGTCCGGGAAGATCCCGCATGCCAAGCCATGGCCGCTGAGCCTGCGCGTCCGGAGCCTGTGCTCCGCAACGGGAGAGGCCACAACAGTGAGAGGCCCCCGCGTAAAGAAAAAAAAAAAAAAAAAAAAAAAAAAAAAAGTTACTTTCTAAACAGAATGGACTTGCCTGTTAGTTACTGCTGGATTACAAATCATTTTGGTCTTTAATCCCTTGTAGTAAGTCTCAGACAAAAGGTAAATCAATATACATGTATGTATGTATATACGTTTACTACACAGTGGGATGGCCAACGATAAACTCAGCAAAGGAATTTCTTTTTCTCAAAGAAGAGACATTACTTTTGTTCAGAATTTCCTTCAGCAGTTGTTACCTTCATAATAGCACTATCAGAAATATTTTTTTTCCAGTTTTTCCCCCTTCCTCCTCCCTTCCACTCCCCACCTCTAAACACACACACACACACACACACACACGTGCACACACACTTTTTTCCTCCCCTGAATCATCTGAAAATAAGCTGCAGTCATCATGATGTTTCACCTCTTAATATTCCAACATGCATCTCTGAAGATTAAGGACACTCTCTAAATAATCACATATAATGTTCACATCTAAGAAATTTCATAAAGATTTAATAATATTTAAAATATAGTCTATATTTAAATTTCCCCAGTTGTCCCCAAAATCTCTTCTGTAGTTCCAGGATCCAATCAGAGTTCACACATTATGTTGGTAGTTCTGTCTCTTTTTAGGCTCTTTTAGTCTCTAAAATAATTCCAGCTCCCCTTCGCCGTACTACACCTCCACCCAGTACATTGACTTTTTTGAGGAATCCAGGTGAGTTGTCTTGTAGAGCGTCTCACATTCTAGATTTCTCTGATTGATTCCTCATGGTTAGATTCAAGTTAAATGTTTTTGGCAAGAACAGGTGATATTGTGTACTTTTTATTGTATCAGAATGGTATAGAAAGATATACTCAGATATCTCACTCCCATCCTTATTCTTTCTACCTCATTCCCATCCATCTCCCATGGATAACTTCTTTATTAGTTTCTGTTTTATCCTTCCTGTACTTCTGTTTGCAAAACATAAGCATGTATATATAAATTTAAAATGTATCCTTATTTGTTTCTATATGTTAAGATTCAGCAAACTGTGGCCCACAGGCCAGCCACCTGCTTTTATACAATTTTTAAAGGTTACTTTCCATTTATAGTTATTACAGAATATCGGCTATATTCCCCTTCTTGTTGTACAATACATCCTTGAGCCTGTCTTACACCCAGCAGTTTTACCTCGCACTCCCCCACCCTATATTGCCCCTCCCCACCCTCATTCCCCACGGGTAACCACTAGTTTGTTCTCTGTGAGTCTGCTTCTGTTTTGTTATATTCACTAGTTTCTTGTATTTTTTAGATTCCACATAGAAGTGATATCATACAGTATTTGTCTTTCTCTGTCTGACTTATTTCACTTAGCATAATGCCCTCCAAGTCTATCTATGTTGCTATAAACGGCAAAGTTTTGTTCTTTTTTTTAATGGCTGAGTACTATTCCCTTGTATCTCTATACACCACTTCTTAATCCATTCACCTGTTGATGGACATTTAGGTTGCTTCCATATCTTAGCAATTGTAAATAATGCTGCTAAAAAAATTGGGGTACTTGTATCTTTTCAAATTAGTGTTTTTGGAATGTCATTGCTGGGTCATATGGTAGTTCTATTTTTAGTTTTTTGAGAAGCCTCCATACTGTTTTCCACAGTGGCTGCATCGATTTATATTCCCACCAACAGTGTATTGGAGGTCCCTTTCTCCACATCCTTGCTAACATTTGTTACTTGTATTCTTTTATTTATTTATTTTTTTTTTGCGGTACGCGGGCCTCTCACTGCTGTGACCTCTCCTGTTGCGGAGCACAGGCTCTGGTCACTCAGGCTCAGCGGCCGTGGCTCACGGGCCCAGCTGTTCCGCGGCATGCGGCATCCTCCCGGACCGGGGCACGACCCCGCATCCCCTGCATCGGCAGGCCGACTCTCAACCGCTGTGCCACCAGGGAAGCCCTGTATTCTTCTTGATGATAGCCATTCTGACAGGTGTAAGGCTCCTTGTGGTTTTGATTTGCATTTCCCTGATGGTTAGTGACGCTGAGCATCTTTTCATGTGCCTGGTGGCTCTCTACATTTCCTCTTTGGAAAAATGTCTGTTCAGTTCTTCCGCCCATTTTTTAATCAAGTTGTTTGGTTTTTTTTGATGTTGAGTTGTGTGAGCTGTTTATATATGTTGGATATTAACCCCTTATTGGTCATATCATTTGCAAATATTTTCTCCCATTCAGAAGGCTGTCTTTTCATTTTGTCGATGGTTTCCTTTGCTGTGAAAAAGCTTTTAAGTTTAATTAGGTCCCATTTGTTTATTTTTGCTTTTATTTCCTTTACTTTAAGAGAGGATCCAAAAAATATATATTGCTGCAATTTATGTCAAAGAGTGTTCTGCCTGTGTTTTCCTCAAGTTGTTTTATAGTATCTGGTCTCACATTTAGGTCTATTTTGAGTTTATTTTTGTGTATGGTATCAGAGAATGTTGTGATTTCATCCTTTTACATGTACCTGTCCAGCTCTCCCAGCACCACTTGTTGAAGAGATTGTGTCTTCTCCATTGTATACTCTTGCCTCCTTTGTCATAGATCAGGTGACTGTAAGTGCACAGCCACCTGTTTTTACATATCATGTTTTATTGGAACACGACCACACGCTAAGTCTACATTTTATTTATTTATTTTTGTTGTTGCTGTTGAAGTAGAGTTGATTTACAATGTTGTGTTAATTAATTCTGTACAGCAAAGTGACTCAGTTATACATACATGCATTCTTTTTCAAATTCTTTTCCATTATGGTTTTATCACAGGATATTGAATATAGTTCCCTGTGCTATGCAGTAGGACCTTGTTGTTTATCCATCCTATATATACCAGCTGGCATCTGCTAACCCCACACTCCTAGTCCTCCCCTCCCCCAACCCCTCCCCGTTGGCAACCACCAGTCTGTTCTCTATGGCCCTGATTCTGTTTCTGTTTCCTAGATAGCTTCATTTGTGTCGTATTTTAGATTCCATATATAAGTGATATCATATGGTATTTGTCTTTCTCTTTCTGGCTTTGCTTAGTATGATAATCTCTAGTTACATCCATGTTGCTGCAAATGGCATTATTTCATTCTTTTCTTATGGCTGAGTAGTATTCCATTGTGTATATGTGCCGCATCTTCTTTATCCATTCATCTGTTGATGGACATTTAGATTGTTTCCATGTCATGGCTATTGTGCATAGTGCTGCTAGGAACATAAGGGTGCCTGTATCTTTTTGAATTAATGTTTTGTCTGGATACATACCCAGGAGTGGGATTGCTGGATCATAAATGGTAGGTCTATTTTTAGTTTTCTGAGGAACCTCCACACTGTTTTACACAGTGGCTGCACCAACTTAACATTCCCACCAGCAGTGTAGTAGGGTTCCCTTTTCTCCACACCTTCTCCAACATTTATTATTTGTAGACTTTTTAATGATGGTCATTCTGACCAGCGTGAGGTGATACCTCATGGTAGTTCTGATTTGCATTTCTCTAATAATTAGCGAAGTTGAGCATCTTTTCATGTACATATTGGCCATCTGTATTTCTTCTTTGGAGAAATGTCTCTTTAGGTCTTCTGCCCATTTTTCGATTGGATTGTTTGTTTTTTTTGTTGTCAAGTTGTATGAGCTGTTTGTGTATTTTGGAAATTAAGCCCTGTTGGTTGCATCGTTTGCAAATATTTTCTCCCATTCTATAGGTTGTCTTTTCATTTTGTTTATGGTTTCCTCTGCTGTGCAAAAGCTTGTCAGTTTGATTAGGTCCCATTTGTTTATTTTCGTTTTTATTTCTATTGCCTTGGGAGAAAGACCTAAGGAAACATTGATACATAAATGTACATTTTAAAATTTAGATCTCTGATCCATGTGGAATTAATTCCAGTGTACCATATGAGGTGCAGATCTAGTTTTATCTTTTTTCTAAATGACTGTTGTCCCAGCACCATTTATTTGAAAATCCATCTTTCTCCAGTGAATTTAGAAGCCACCTTTGCCATAGTCTGTATCTTTGTATGTGCTTGGCTCTGCTTTTGGACTCGTTATTCTGTTCTGGTGGTCTTTCTTTCTATTTATATGCCATATATGCCATATGCTATTTAAGTGCCACACTGTTCCTTTGGTGAACATAACAGTGCTTTTTTCTGTTAACTAAGAAGAAGAAGGTGACTTTGAAATATGCTAGTGAGAGGCTAACTGAGGAACCCCATTTTTCTAAGTTATTAGGGGA